TAAGAGAATAAGAAACACTACCTGCCAAAAAAAAAAGTGAAGTTTTGTTTTATCGGCTGAAAAATATAGGAAAACCGCTCCTAATATTTAAAGGAACCCACGCACACAAACAACCCGATGTGAGTTGTCCCCCTTCCATTTTCACGATGTCTCTTAATCGTGTTTTCCAATTAATTTTGTGCAAAAACAATTATATTTTCCCCATTTTTGGCGCTGTTAGAACCACCACAAGGTAATTTTATGTAGTCCTGTGAAGTTTTGTTGAAATCGGTTGAAAAATGTAGGAAATCCGATCCAATATATAAACGTTACACACACACACACACACACGCACACACACACAATCAGCGTTTTATAATAAGTAAGATATATATTGTCTTCAATTTATATATATATATATATGTATAGATCCCGGCTTAGTCTGTTGTGTTTATATTTATGATACATATGACACACTCATATCCTCTCTCCCACCTCATTTCGTTAACTTTACGTATACTTGATGAGGTCCGTAAAAAACGTGTGAATTTTTCATTTTTCATTTCAGCTTTTGAAAGTAAAATCTGATGATCCAGAACCCTGTTAAAGGGGTTATGGTGAAATAGCTTATTACATGGAATCTTAACGTGGTCTGTCTTTTTTATTCAATATATATATATATATATATATATATATATATATATATATATATATATATATATATATATATGCTCAGCGCAGTCATCAAGCCTGACGATTGTGTCTAGCATGAAGCAGCCTGTTGCTTCAATGTTCACTTTTATATTTACATACGCTCTATCTTTGATATTGTGCACTTTATCCCTTAAATATAGCACAACTTAAAACTATATTTCTTGATATATATATATATATATATATATATATATATATATATATATATATATATATATATATATGATAAATTTTATGTAACGATTCAGGTAATTTGGCATGGAAACTTGAATCGATGAACTGAGTTCAGATTCCGGCTTAGTCTGTTGTGTTTATTTATGGTAATACACTCGGAAAAGCCATGAACAAGTCTTTTCCTTTTGTTTGTTAGTTATTGTTTAAAACAGTGGTCCTCAACCTTTTCTATTCATGGCCCAATTTTGATTGCATTAACAAAGGGTCATTTTACAATTTCCGGAACAAATAGACTGTGATATTTCTCTAGATAAACTTGAAAACTGCTTGTTTTAAAAAGCAAACACTTTTACTGAAATAAAGTTCAAAGTTGGGTCATTGTGTCGTGCGTGAAAGCTTTTCTCGTCAGAGCCTATCTTGCATATTTACAAATCTAACATTCGACCGTGTATTGAATACTGTTGTCATATCTGGTCTCCTGCTCTTGCTGCACATCTCGGGATTCTTGACAAAATCCAAATAAAGATTTGCTTCTTCGTCATTTTATCTCTAGGTTGTTGAGAAAATCCAAAGACCTGTAATATAATCGATCCTGACCCGGCATCTTGACTTCAATCACATCGTCACCGGCGTAACGTGGCTTCCCTCTGTCTTTCCAACAAATATTTCGATGGTAACTGGTTTGCTGAATAATTTCCCCTGTTTCCCCCAACTACAGGCTACTAGATTGGCAACTAGGTTCCACCGTTTTACTGTTGAACTAGCTAGATGCAACCGCCATATATGTTCCAATAGTTTCTTTTAATTTTGTTCGTTTCCTTGCTTTCCTGATGTCTACAATCGCCTTATGTCTTCTTGAACCACGTTTATCTTTTGTCCTTCCTATTCTCAGTCTTCTGTTTCATTTTCACTTTCACTTTCACTTTCACACCCCGTAACCCCTTGCGTACTAGTGGTATTTCCGCCTTATTTGGGGAGAAATTATTTCAGTGAATAAATTTCTGCACGTATATGCATGCACAATTTTTTTTTAAAAATCTGCGAAATAAAGAAAAACAAAAAATAAAGTTGGTAACTATGCATAGATTATTCAATAATTAAATGGAAATAATTTTGTAAATAAAACTCAAAATATATAGTTTAATTACATAAGTTTATTAAAACTCAAATATAAAAGGGAACAGGGTTAGAGCACTATGCACCCCACAATCCCAGAATTCTTATGTGGCCTCCAATAGATTTTACCATGACTCCCTTATGCACATGGACTCTGAATTCAAACTGGTTCAATGAAACATGTATTTTTTATTTGAAAATAATGACTTGAAAGACCATGTTGTAAAATTAGCTATTTTTATATTCTTAATAATTTCACTCTAAGCAAGAAAATAAAGCCACTAAGACGCAATGGTTTGCTGGTTATAAGAGAATATGAGAAAAAAAAGAACATTATTAAGCAGAGAGAACAATAAAAGAACAGGAATCAAAAAGACAGAAGATAACGATTGATACTCTAAATAAATGTTTGAAGATCAAAGTTGACAGGAAAGCAAGAATCCCGGAACAATAAACAGCTACTCACAATCAATACCAAAATACTAGCAAAATCAAATAGTCAAAACAGACCTATGATCGTGAAGCCATAGTCATACAACAAAAAAAAAACAACTATAATATAAACAACTAAGCTATAACTTATTGCTTTAAAGACAACTTAGAGGGCGGCATTTAAGCTAGCTCCTGCAGAGGTCTTTTGATTGGGTCTTCGGCTTGTTCTGGAGTTTGAGAGTTCCTAAGTCTTTGTATATTATCAGCATTGGAAGCTCTCCTGGCTGCCATTAGATCTGGGTTTTCACTTGCATGGGACTCTCTCTTCCTCGCTGCAGCCTCGGATCTTTTGATTGCAATCTAGTCCTCCTTTGGCGGAGATTTCTTTCTGCTGCCCTTATGCGATAAGTAACAATAAACTGCAGAAGAACTCAAAATTCACCGCTACATTTAAGCATTGCATTAATATTCAAGCTTACCTTTTAAAAATTCTTCTGTCGCCACTTAATTTAAAGACAATTTGATATACGTAGGTCCTTACTTTCTGTAAAAACAATTATTTTTATTTCATGGGTGACTTTCTCTGGATTTCGCAATTAATTTCGATTATTCCCAAATTTATTTCCAAGTTATAAAAACTGTTATCAGGCAAAAAATTTAACGCAAAAAATCACGTAAAAATTTGCCGGAAACAATCGCAGTGATTAAAAATTGGAAATCAATAATTTCAGAATTAGGGATCCGGATTCGGCCCAGAATGTTTTAATTTGCTCATGGAGTCAGCCTGATTCCAAAATGGTATCATATTTTCGGCTACTGCCTCGAGGAGTAAATTACATCATAACACACTTCGCGAACGTCACTGATTCTACTTAACTACTAATTGTCTCTACTTATCCTGATGATGACATAAAAGAGTCGAAATGTTGGACCATATTCCTTGTACTTTTCGTCTGAAATGAACTTTGGGTAGTTTCTGATTGAATTTCCTCCTTGACGACCGAGAAGGATTATTCGTAATTTGGAAAAGTCTATCATTAAAATTAATTGACCTAAAAAATATGTTGCTTTTAATAAAGTTTTTCTTAAAGAACGTTTGCTGCCTATATATATATATATATATATATATATATATATATATATATATATATATATATATATATATATTGCTCATTCGTTCTCGACTCTTCCGTCGAATCCGACGTACGAGGGTCAAGCATATCAGTTCCCAGGAAACCGAGAGCGTGACAACAGCACATGAGAATTGATTATAATGGTGAAGGTTTCGTGCAGGACCATCCACACTTTTTGAAGGGCCGAATACAGAGGCCTGGTGCACTACGTGCCACAAGGTCCCCAAACGACCCTCAGCAGGTTTTGAATTCAGAGTTGTCCTTGTCCTAGACTAGTTGCCATCCAAGGCTATAGAACCCAGTCTGTCCTGCTATTTACCTGACTGCAGGGAGAAGAAGCCGATATCCATTACTTCACCGTGCCTCCACGTACATATATATATATATATGTGTGTGTGTGTGAAGCACTTTACCGTGAATAAGTGATACGTCAGCTTTTCTTGGCCGCTGTCTCTACTATAATCAGTTCGGACAAGAGGCCATACATTTTTGGCCTTGTACCGTAGTCCGCTACATTTAGTAAATAGCCATATTTGTAAAATAAAGCGAACTCTTTGAAGGAAAAAGAAGAAGGAAAAGAATAGAAAGAAAATAGAGAAGTGAATAAAGTCATAAAATACAGAAGAAAAATGTCAATATTGAAAAATGGAAAGGAAATAAGATAAAGAGATTTAGAAACAAGGAAAAAAATGGAAGAAGACGGGACAATGGGAACATGACCTGGAGAATAAATGAAAATAAAGGAATTCCGATAGTAAGTGATTGGTGGGGGGTGCAAAGAATAAAAGTAAGTTAGATTATGTAGAAGGAATTTGGAAGCATAGGAGAAGAAAGAAAGAAAGAAAGAAAGATAACAATTTTGTGTGAATAGAAAGAAATAAACAGAAAAGGACGAGACATTTTTTTTTTTAACTTATCCTTTCTTAAGATGAGGATGAAAAAGGTAAGAAACATGGTAAGAAAAGGGTAAGAAAGAAAGAAAAAAGAAAGAAACAAAGAAACAAAGAAAAAAGAAAGAAAGAAAGGAAGAAAAAAAAAGAAAGAAAAAAAGAAAGAAAGAATATATATATATATATATATATATATATATATATATATATATATAAGACAGAAGGACACTTAGGATATATGCGACAAGATATCGTGGAAAAGAAATTAAAACAAAGAAATTCTGATATGCTCAAGCACGGAAAGAAATAAAAGAAATATAACAGAGAAGAAAAGAGAAGAGGAGAGGAAGGCGAACAATTAATTCCGAGAATTAAAAGGAAAGGAAGAAGAAAGACGCGAAGCAGAAAATGAATAAAGGTAAAGAATATCTGCAAAGACATACAAAAAAAGAAGGTAATCAAATAAAGAAAGAAAGAAAATAAGAAATTAAAAAGCCGACAGGAAAAAAGAAAGAAAGAATATTAAAATTAAAAAGAGGCAGGTATAGAAAAAAGATGAAAACTAAGAAAGAAAGAAAGAAAGAAAGAAAGAAAGAAAGAAAGAAAGAAAGAAAGTAAAAGAACAGATAATATCATATAAAAAAGGACAAAAGCAGAAAAAAACATCGAAGGAAAGAAAGAAAAAAAATAACATTTTTGTGTGAATAGAAAGAAATGAACAGAAAAGGAAGAAACAAAGCCAACTTATCCTTTCTTAAGATGAGGATGAAAAAGGTAAGAAACATGGTAAGAAAAAGGTAAGAAAGAAAGAAGAAATAAAAAGAAAGAGAGGAAAGAAAAAAGTAATAAAAAAGAAAGAAAGATAGATAGAAAGAAAAAAAAGAAAGAAAAAGAAAGAGAGGAAAGAAAAAGGTAAGAAAGAAAGAAGGAAAGGAAGAAAGAAAGAAAGAAAGAAAGATAACAATTTTGTGTGAATAGAAAGAAATGAACAGAAAAGGACGAGACAAAGCCAACTTATACTTCCTTAAAATGATGATGAAAAAGGTAAGAAACATGGTAAGAAAAAGGTAAGAAAGAAAGAAAAAAGAAAGAAAGAAAAAGAAAGAGAGGAAAGAAAATGAATGAAATGCTTAAGTAGATATCAATAAAAGAGGGATTGTTAAAAGTATAGGAACATGAAAAAAGAAAGAAAGAAAGAAAGAAAGAAAGAAAGAAAGAAAGAAAGAAAGAAAGAAAGGATAGAAAGGAAAAGAAAGGATGAATAAAGTAAGGGGATAGATAATGTTAAATCGAAAAACTCATTAAAATAAAGAAAGAAAGAAAGAAAGAAAGAAAGAAAGTAAAAGAACAGATAATATCATATAAAAAAGGACAAAAGCAGAAAAAAAAATCGAAGAAAGAAAGAAAGAAAGAAAGAAAGGATAAGGTAAAGGAATAAATAATATTAAATCGAAAAGAAGACAGGCAGAAAAATGATTAAAGGGAAGAAAGAAAAAGAACAAATAATATCAAATATAAAAAGAAAAATCCAGAAAATCATCAAAAGGAAAAAAAGAAAAAGAAAAAAAATGGAATGAAAAAGCTAAAGAAATAGATAATATTAAATAAAAAGTAGATAGACAGAAAATTATTAACAGAAAGAAAGAAAGAAAAAACGAAAGAACAGAGAATATCAAATAAGAAAAGAAAAAGGCAGAAAAACATGAAAAGTAAGAAAGAAATAAGAAATTAAAAAAGAAAAAAAAAAATATTACTTAAAAAATTTAAATTTAAAAAGAGAAAATGAAAAAAGAAAAAGAAAGAAAAAAAAGAAAGAATATGGTAAAGGAATAGAATATTAAATCGAAAAGGAGACAAGCAGAAAATCGTTAAAAGAAAGAAAAAGAACAGATAATATTAAATGAAATAAAGAAAGACAGAAAGAAAGAAAGAAACAGAGAGAGAGAGAAAGAAAGAAAGAAAGAAAGAAAGAAAGAAAGAAAGAAAGAAAATATATGATTGAAAACAAAGAACGGTTAGGATATATGCTTCAAGATAACATGTAGAAACTGAACGAAAGAAATTCTGATATGCCGAAGCAAGAAAAAATGTAAAAGAAATAAAACAGAGAAGAAATAAAGAAAGATAGGAAAAAAGAAGAGGAAGGCGAACAATTAAGCCCGAGAATAAAAACAAAACGAAGTAGAAGAATCAATGAAGAGTGCGAAGCAGAAAGCGAAGAAAAAATAAGTAGGATATAAATTGACAAAACGAATGAAAAATGCCTTAGAAGGAGTGAGAGGGAATAAAAAGAAAATGGCCGCGAAAGATGAATAAAGTATAGAAGATGAAAGAAATAAAAAATCAATAGAATGCAAAAAATAAAGAGAAATAGATAAAATGAAGAAAGAACGAATAAGAAAGAGAATAGAAGATGAAGAATTCGGAAACAAAAGAAAGATTAAGATATAAACGAGAAAGAGAAAGAACAAAGGTGGGAGAAAGAAAAAGACGAAAACGGAACATTAAAGGTTAAAAGGAAGACGAAGAAGAAGAAGGAAATGAAAAGAAAAATACGAAAGGGAAAAGAGAGAGAGAGAGAGAGAGAGAGATACAAACAAACAAGAGAAGACAAAAAATGTCGATAAAGAAAAATGGTTAAGAAAAAGAAGAGAAAATGAGACGGAAACGAAGAAAAGAAATAAAACCTCGAAAATATGAATTTTTCTTTTCCCATTGAATGGGCAAATGCAGAAAGGCGAATTTCTGAAAGATCAAATATATTTCTTCAATTCAGAAAAGTATTTGAAGGCACTTCAAAGAAATTTAATACAAAACTTTGATATTGAATAACGGACAGAAAATAGAACAGTTGCAACAAGCGTAGTGGTAACAACAAAAGAAAATACCGTTACTACGAATAATAATAATAATAATATTAATAATAATAATATTAATAATAATAATAATAATAACAGTAGCAGTATACTAGGTATCAATTTATCTCGCAAGATAATGGTAGCGCTCTGATTGGTCAAAATTCAGTGAGCAGCGTCTGGAGTGGCGTAACATTCCAATCTCTGTAGAGCAGTCTTTTCTTCAGGTGTTAAAGACAAACCTGAAATGTGGGATGAAGGTCTGAGATCTCTCTCTCTCTCTCTCTCTCTCTCTCTCTCTCTCTCTCTCTATCTATCTATCTATCTATCTATCTATTATCTATCTCATTCTATCTATCTATCTATCTATCTATCTATCTATCATTCATCTATCTATCTATCGATCTTTCTCTCTCTCTGCTTCCTGTTGTCTTCAGATCTCCAACAGTTGGTTTCGCATTTTTTCCGCCAATCACGACTTCTCCTTGAAGTGCAGAGCGCCAGCCGCTTCGATCCTCTGCTAGTTATACCCACCTACCAGAGTCGATGCCTGTGCATTTCAAGTCCCTCTGATAGACGTCCTTGACACGGAGTTCAGAGCGGCCTACCGAAGGGTGTCCCGTGGCCAGATCACGACCAGCATTCATTAGATATAGCCGACCCAGCCATCGAAGACTACGTTAGCAGAGGAGAGGATGCACTTTTCAGAAGTCTGCTTGCTCCAGCACAACAGTGTTTTTTTTTTTTTTTTCACCCCAAGCAAGGCAATAATGCCGCTAAGATGCAAGGGGAATAAAAGAGAGCAAGAAGAGATTTAGAAGAAATACTAGGAAATGTTTGCGTGTGTGTGTGTGTGTGTGTGTGTGTGTGTATGTGTGTGTGCGTGTGCGTATTCTCTTGTCGATGATGACAATCGAAGATCCAATAAATTTAATAGAACATGACTGTGCAGATTTTTAAAAAAGTTAAGTGGGGGATTCTTTTTCATGAGTCCTGCCTTCCGGTGCAACGAATCACTTTTTACGGGGGTTAAGAACTACTCGAAATTAGTCTGACGTTGTTCCTGACTTTTATTTGAAAGACTCTCCGCCCGTAAAACAAGACGTCCTTCACTTTGTACCATTTTCCGTTACATTTTCCAAGATTTTAAGATCCATTTTACAGCGGTGTCGATCGGTATTACCCTTCAGGTTTATTGTAGAAGGCGACTTCTGACAAGACGTTTTCTATTCCAAAATTAATCATCGAATAACTTATACATACAAACAGGTATATGTGTAAAAATTCAGATACAACTTAAAATATATCTGTGAAAAGACAGTATGAATACAGACAAAAGGGGGACTTATTTGCCAATGCTTTTCCTCCTCTGATGGGAATTATCAAGGCAAATGTAAGGGTTTTTATTTTGTAACAAATATTTAGAAACAGAAGAACGATAATAAATATTCATAATTTCTCGAACTAAACTAAATAATTAAATTTGAAAACAATCAGCAACAACAATCGCATTTACACATTTTCGTTTATTAGACATTAAATTATATCAATTAGCATCCTCCATAATTTAGCTTGACCTTCACAGTTAACCTGATGAATATTTATTAGCATTCTTCTAAAGAGTGTTCCAATAACTTGGACCGATTTTAAATGTGAATTAAGTTTTATCGTTTAATGATTTTTTTCTTCTTCTTTCAAATTTGGCAGACATTTGGGCGATATTATTTTTTACACACAATGGCCATGACTTAAATAACATGATCCAATAGAGAAATAAATAATTTTTCATCAATGACACTGATTTATTTACTACTAATTTTGATCCGTTTTAATGAAACACCCTTATATATAATCAGTCTTAATGATATATCCATTATTTAAAAAAAATTGAAAAACATTTTTCTTCTGTTAATAAATACTTGTTAAAGATAAAATCCTTACAAAGGTCCTTCATAATGTCCATCAGATGACGAAACTTATTGGTAAAAAAACGTTTTCTATTGTCTTTATACACACACACACACACGTATATATATATATATATAATATATATATATATATATATATATATATATATATATATATATATCAGTTAAATATATATATATATATATATATATATATATATATATGTAAAAGACAATAGGAAAACTGTAATAGTTACTGACGCATTTCGTCCGATGTGGATTTTCTCAGGGCAAAACGAAATGAATTTATTAAAAGAACTAATAATAGCAAAACATATATGGATGTATATGAAATTTCTAATTCCAGATTTTCTTACTTCAAACGATATTATAGTGGGTACTTCGTGCATGAAATAGACGCATCATGTTTATTTATTAAACTGCGTATTACGTATATCGCGCAGGGGATTCGTTAAATCCTAGTAAATAAAATATGTTCCCCGGTAGGGATCGAACCTGCATCCCTCTTTTTCGGGGAAGCCTCTTTTATGTGCCAGCGGACTTTACCGCTCTGGGACGAAGAATGACACTGTAAGCACGTTTCACAGGGTTTCCCACACAAAGGGCGATGCTGGTTCGATCCCTGACAGAGAATACATTTCTCGTCACAAAGATTGATCTAGTGCGCAGGCCGATAGACGTAATACATACTCTAAAATAAATAAAAATACGATGTTCCCATTATAACATTTTAAATTATATATATATATATATATATATATATATATATATAAGCAATTCGAAGAAAAAACTAATAAACGTTGAAATTTTCAAGTAGATAACGCACTAATATATTCAAAAATCTTACGTCTTAAAAGTTAAACTATGGATGAGCTTAAGTGACATAAGTTTTTGTTCATGTTAAACGAGCGTGAATTAATGTTGCTCTTGTTATTACTATTTTGTATCTAATTATTACTTCATTATTTATTTTCCTTTTATTTTATTTGTTTATTCTTTAATTTATTTATTCTTAAAGGTTAACCGCTTTCATTTAATTAAATTCAATTCAGTCAAAAGTTATATATAATAAATATCAATATATTGACAATATATCAATATTATTGACAATATTGGTATCATTTTGTTGGGTTTTTATCCTTCAACTTTTGTTAACTGGCCTATTCTCTCTCTCTCTCTCTCTCTCTCTCTATATATATATATATATATATATATATATATATATATATATATATATATAAAGACATTTTTATATTTATACATTCTTTTTTATAGATACAAATATTTAATAAACAGTATTAAGCAACATTTGCCGGCCTGAATGTCCGAGAAATTTTCACAGAAAATATTCGTCCTCCGACAGGATTCGAAACTGCGTATTACGTATATCGGGCAGGGGATTCGTTAAATCCTAGTAAATAAAATACCTGCATCCCTCTTTTTAGGGGAAGCCTCTTTTATGTGCCAGCGTACTTTACCGCTCTGTGACGAAGAATGACACTGTAAGTACGTTTCACAAGGTTTCCCACACAAAGGGCGATGCTGGTTCGATCCCTGACAGTGAATACATTTCTCGTTACAAAGATTGATCTAGTGCGCAGGCCGATAGACTTTTGTTAACCGGATCCGTCATTTAGCTTGACGTGCCTTTAACCGATTTGGCCACAGAGGAGCGTTCGGTTAGCAAGGTCGAATTTACTGTATTTAAATATATAAATATTTATGCACATATATATTAAAGACCCAGAAGAAAGGATTGATAAGAACACACTTTTAGTGTGTGATATCTAGTCGTGTTTACCTTTCTAAAGCTGGCCTAGCCAAATATACGCATATCCATACATTACGATTTCAAGCAATATTTCCGCAACTAATTTGTCCTGAATTATACTGCCTATTTTGCAATAAAGTATGTGGAAATACGTCCGAATTAGCTAGAGACGAATCTTAAAATACCAACATATAATCCAATAATCAATTAAAACTAGTGTTCTGGTGTCGACTATGCTGAAAGGCACGCCAATCCTTTGCAAGACTTAAAACTTTCTGTCGATCGCATATTTTATGTCATTTGTTCGTATTTTCTTTTCTTTCTTTTTTTTCTATCTTTCTTTCTTACTCTGTAAGATAATAACGCATCTTTATTTATACATTTTTAGCATCTTTGAAATTAGTACATACGAGTATTAAGTATCTGTCTACCTCCTGCTTTCTCTGCATCTTTACAAGCGCCAGATAAGTCCAAAAATGGTGTATTGCTGCTGTGGCTGAGCTGGAGCTGACCAATCGTCACGACTGTATTGATACAGTTAAAAAGTGTGCACGTTGCTTTATAGCTTAATGCATTGTTTTCCAATCTACAACTCCTTTCTCATTGACGAATCTTCGCGAGCATCTCTCTGCTTTATCCCTATTTCCATGAAGCGTGCTCTGACGAGCTACATTCCTTAGGTCCACCATCTCTAAATTACAGCTGGGACCCCCCATTTCACATACATACTTGTGAATAATCACTATTTTTTTTCTTATTCTTATAGTAAGATTTAAGTTCCACTCGGACAGCTTCTTCCCGAGGGCAGCTGCGTTGTTTTCCCCATCACAACAATCTTGACTTCTTCAATCTAGGGCTAACTGTTAATCTTTTACATAGATCCATGACCTCCACTCCTTACCTTTTCTTACACCCGTAAAACTATAATGGCGTGGAACTTAGGTGTTCAAATAAACAATCAATTTACCCCCGCGAAGATGACGGATAAAAATGACGAGGAAACACACGGCTAATTTTAACAAAAAATGATAAGGAATTTATTCACGAACTTTCACGCTTGAATTAGTGTCAGTGCCTCATTTCAGGAAAATAAATCAGAATTCTTGAAGTCCGTAGAATTAACGTATTGTCGTGAAGAGGAAATGTTTATACAACATTAAAT